CTCTCTCTCTCTCTCTCTCTCTCTCTCTCTCTCTCTCTCTCTCTCTCTCTCTCTCTCTCTCTCTCCCCTGTACTAACCTGTGAAGGTGGCGCCTTGTTGCAGGTACATCGAAGACAAATTTGGAGCTATGGCGCCACAGGTAAGTCTCCCTGGCCTCTGCCAACCATCTCTCTCTCCACAATGCTACTCTAGCTCTTTTTTTTTTTTTTTTTAATCAGGTCCGTATGGTCCTGGCTCCATATCCATTCTGGGGGGCGTCAGTCCGGTTCCTATTCCCCCGACAAGTCAGAAATAGATTACATCATACTACCCACTCAACGCCTTCCTTCCGTCTGGCCGAAGGAACCCTGATCAGCATTGATTGCTCCTTCTAAGGAGGATCGACTGTCAGCTCGCCCTGACCATTTGTTCCTCTCAGGCTTCTATTTAGAGCCTGTCGAATGAGTCCCTGTGCTACGAGAACAGTGGGGGGGGTCCGCTCTGTGTTCTGTCGCTTGTCCTTGTCTTTCCCTGTGTGTCCGGTCCTCTTTTTGTTAATCACCATTTAGAACCTTCGGCCAGGTCTCCCGACATGTATCCTCATGGTCTTCATGCTTCTGCCTGGTGCCATTTTTTCCATCTCAGTCTATTGTCTACTATCGTTGCCACCTTGCCTTTTAGCAACCAGATCCTTATGAAAGTTCGTTTCTTGGTTGCTTGTCTTTCTGGTCTGTGTCTCATAGAGTTTGCTATTCTCCGCCATCTGCTCCTGATTTCCGTCTCTGCCATGCTCAGCAGTAGAGACCACATTTCTTCTCTTGCCACCTCTGTTCCCTCGATTGTCTGAGTACATCTGCGTTTCCATATCACCCACAGCGCCAACTTCCTGAGTAGGGTGAACAATGCTTCCCTGCTGCCTGTGATGGTACTGGGGATGTTAGTTAGAAGTAGAATAGAGATAGGGGGGATGTTTGGGGGGGGGGCAGCGAACAGGATCGACCATAGGTCGTGGATCTTCCTCCATATCCAAATTGCTTCAGGGCAGAAGAGGAGGCAGTGGGGGATGTCTTCGAATGAGTCGTTGCTGCACATTGAGCAGCATGCCGAGCTATCAGGATCAGAATGTTTCTTCTCTCGTGTAACCATAGGTTGACTGGCAGGGCTGCATGTGCTATTAGCGATCGCATACTTCGGATTCTACTTGGTCTGATGAGAAGGTATTTGGTCCATGTGATGGAGATGGGGGTCGTGGTGTGTAGGTTCAGTATGGTTCTCCACTTCTCTGCCAGCCTTGGATTCGGGTCTTTGGATTGTAGCCCGAGGTTATATCCGAGCTTGACGTCGTATTCTGTTATCCTTCTCGATTTACTGGCTGCGCCCAGGTCCCAGATCCATTCCTTTGGGTCGAATTCCAACTCGTTGATGCTAAGTTCCGGCTGGAAAATAAGCCAGGGTGTCTTGCGAGAGACTCTAACCTTCCTGAGAAAGTAGGTTTCTATTTGTTCGTTCTGTTGTGTTTTGCTTAGGATCTCTAGTTCATATAGGCCATGTTTGATGATGGGGTAGGATACGAACTTGGCCTGGTAGTTGATTAAGTCCGGTTTTAACACAAAACGGTAGGCTTTCGTTGGTGGGGTGTGTGTGATGAGCAGTCCCCAGTCTCCTGGTTTCCACGTATGTGTCTCTTTTAGGAGGGTCGTCAATGGGGGAGGAATGCTTTGGTGGATTTCGGACAGGTTGGTGGTCAGTAGATGGCAGCCTTTTAATGGAGTGCGGAGGTCCCAGGCGATGAGCCATTCTTGTCGGTCTTCGAACCACAAATGTTTGACCTGCCATACTCCTCTCCCCACCCATGACAGCCATCTGCGATCTTTGGCCCGGAGAGTCCGCGGTCTGCCCTCTGTGTCTTTGATCCAGGGATTGTAGAACAGGGGTTGTCGTAGGACTTCCTCTTTGTTGCTCAAGGGGTCTTTCTTTACTGGCATCAGACGGCCCCAGGTCTTCAGGATTGGAGACCAGTAGGGGGTGGGTGTAGTGGGGGGTTGAATGGGGGTCACTGGGTTAGTTTTCCTTGCTGGTCTCCCGAATTTGATTGTCCACTCCTTTGCCATTATCCAGAATAGGCCACTCATGTTCGGTGGGGTCACTGCTGGTGCCAAATTCCTTATGCTGTCTAACACCATTGCGGTCCACGGGAGGGCTTGTTTGGTTAGGATTTTGATTATCCATTTGATTTGGAGGGCGATTGTT